ATTAGTTGTTGTAGATGACGAGTAGAAAGACAAAATAAAACTATGCTCAACTATTTGGCTAAATATATATCAGACAACCAGAAAGATTGAGATCGCTGGGTGTCACTATATCTTTTAGCTTACAGATCTTCTATACGAGGTCTGTCCGGAAAGTATCGGGCCTACCTTTATATTTTCGTGCTAGCGTTATTCTTTATCATCTGGTGGGTGGCATCCGTCAAAGTAATCCCCACTCGATTGAATAACACGGTTCCATCGATGTTTCCACTTTTCAAAACAGTCCTGGAACTCATTTTTAGGGATAGCCTTAAGTACACTCGTCGCATTGTTTTCAACCGTTGTTTTGTCATCGAATCGGTGTCCTTTGAGTGGTTTTTTTAGTTTTGGAAACAGCCAAAAGTCACAAGGGGCTATGTCAGGACTGTATTGAGGTTGTCGAAGCTATGCGATATGGTGTTTGCTCAAAAATTGCTGCACAAATTGGATGAATGCGCTGGCACATTATCGTGATGAAGAAGCCAGTCACTACTTTCTCAAAAGTGCGGCCGTTTTCTTCTTACTGCATCACGCAAACGTTTCAAAATTTGAACGTAGTATTCTTTATTGATTGATGTACAACACCTTCACAATCGCAAAAAACAATCAACATTGACTTAACATTGCTCCGACATTGATGTGCTTTTTTTGGTCTTGGCGATTCAGAATGCTTCCACTGTGAAGATTGTTGTTTTGTTTCAGGATCATAACCATAAACCCATGATTCATAACCTGTAATAACTTTTTCAAGCACATTATCATCATTATTGACCATTTCCAGATTGTCCAGAGCAATTTCTAAGCGAATGTTATTCTGCTCTGCTGTGAGCAATTTTGGGATGAATTTCGGACAAACGCGGTTCATTCCTAAATTTTCGGTTAAAATTTCTGAAATGATAGTTTTGGTATCCCAAGATCTTCTTCTAGTTCTCGCAGAGTCATACGACGATCTTGTTCGGTTGCAAGTCGCATCCGCTCAATATTATCTGCGGTTTTGGTCGTCGAAGGTCGACCGGAATGAGAATTACTATCGACAGAAGTGCGACCATCCTTGAACCGTTTATACCACTCTTTTATTCGTGTTTTGCTCATACACTCGCTGCCGAAGGCCTTTTGCATCATTTCAATAGATTCCGAACTCGTTTAAAAGCAAAATTTGATGCAAATTCGTTGATCTTGTTTTTCAGTCATTTTTGACAATATCAAAATCCGACGAACACGAAAAAGGCACTGGAAACAAAGACACGCTGTACATAAATTATACGTCCGGCAGGTGTCAGTAAGTAACCAATAGATTCGTGAGGCTTTACTGTTGACGTTTCTGTCCGGTAGAGGTCGCTCGAACACTATGGTGCGAAGATATAAACGTAGGCCCGATACTTTCCGGACAGACCTCGTACACGTAATGACGAGTTGCGCCCCGAGCTGAGACGATGACTGGTAACGATTTACGTCTTCCCCTTGATCTAATTCGTAGTTTTCCATCCTATACCTAACGAATCGATAAGTTTTGGCAAATACATTTAAAAATTGAAGACAACACTCAACAAAATTCACCTCTGTATCAGATGAAACATCAAAATGTCATCCCTGCGAACAAAGAAATACTTCAACCGAACAGCTCGACACACTAATTTTCAAGACGGTTAAAAAGTTTTATTTTTCAATCTTCGACGAGTAAAGAGTAAAACTCCTAAACTTCAAAGTGATTGGAAAGGACCATATAAGATCGTCAAGAAGATCAACGATGTTGTTTTCTGCATCAAAAAAACACAAACAGAACATTATCCACATTGACCGATTAGCGACATATCACAACACGTAATTTCTTCTGCTCTGCTCATGGTTTTTGAGTTGTGGTTTTCCCCCGAGCTATAGAGCAAATGCCAAAGCAGGGACAAAGTTGTGGTACCATGACATGTCAAATCCCCACTTCTGTCCAAGATCTACTTACAAAGATTATGTTCACCGATGATGGTTAGATGATATTCACCGATAATGATCTGATGATACCTAATCGAATAATTTTATATTCTTAAGAGACGAATCCTGTGATTAGTCACGTTGAGGATCAACCCACTTAAGAAGTAGAAGATTTTTAGATTTCACCATTATTTTAAGATGGACCATTTCAAGAGACGGGTCCATTGACCACCAATCAAGGATCAATCTGGTTGAAAGAGATGATTTCGTTCTTTGATTCTCAGATTGTCGGGACGACAATCTCAAAAGAGGAGGGGATAATGTTGATTGTTGATTTTGTTCTGCTTATTTTCCAGCTAGTTGTGTTTTGCGCTTCGACTAAGAAACGTATTCTGTGTTTATACAAATAAATACGCTTTCGTTCTTTTTTCTTATAAGTTCTATTATTATGTATTATTATTATGTGTGGGTGTTTATAATTATATGTGTGTGTAAGTGTATGTATGTGTGTGTGCGTGTATGTGTGTATGTATATAGATTACTGAAATCATTAAAAATTTATTAACTTCGTGATTGATTGGTAGGCAGCTTTTTTCTATTATATACCTAATCTTTCGTTATCTATAAATTGAACACATTACTCCATATAATTTAATATCATACGTAATTTGAGTGTTTTCAAATCATTTAATACAGCATAAAAATATGTTTTCAATTCCTAAAAACGTAAATATAGATCTACTGAAAATTTTTTCATAGAAAAGCAGCTATTAACAACCTTGTCCATTGCTTTAAATGCACTAATAGAGGATTGAATTTGCAATTGATCAGACACTTTCTCAGAATCATGGAGGTTATCAGCTCCTTTTAGAAGTCATCGATAAGCAACAGCATTGGAGCACTATAATTTTTAACAAGATTTATCTTCGTAGCCTATAGGAATTCTTTTTCTTTCCTAACTACTTTTAAGAAATCATCATAAATAAGATGATATTCAGTAAAATTTCAGCAATATTTTTTTAAAGATGTTCAGCATATATGTATTAATTATAAATATGAAATTACCGTGAGAGCAATATAATTTGTTATATAAATGATTTACTTCTTTTTTGATTTTATGAAATTATTTTTTTTAATTATCAGCTTCTTTTTTAGTTTTATTACAATATAACAAACTATTTGTTAAGCTTTGTGATCTACTATTTGTACCTGTATCTTTGTCAATTTAATTTTTATATCACATGTACAATTTTTATCTCTTTATATTTTTCTATCCGACCAATCTAGCATTAACAGTTAATTCTTCCATCTCTAGTATCTGTAAATAAACCTATATTTCCATCATCCATCTCTTTCAGCTCTTTTTTATTTGTCTTTATTGAGTATATTGCAACAAAAATTACAAATGCTTATAAGATGTTTTAACTCACTTGTGTAAAATTGTTTACGATCGTATATTTGGATTAGTCCTTCAAATATGATTTAAATATTGTTATAATCTGAAAAAAAATTATACAATAAGTTTAGAGGTATCCTCAACGAAGGTTGATGATCTATCCGAAGATCAGTTCGGTTTCTGGAAGAGCCGATCGACGATTCATGCCATAGTTCAAGTTGTCACTTTAGCTGCTGACAAATGGCAGTTAATGCACCAAAATAATATGTGCAATATTGGCTCTGGATATATGAAACGTCTTCAACTCGATCAAATGATTTGACATTAAACTAGAATTGTAGTGAATAAGGAAACCCCTGCAATGTTAGACTGTACGTCATAGAGAATACGGAAGAAGATACACACTTATATTATCACAGCTGGTGTGCGACAGGACTCGGTATTAGTTTTGTTATTACGGAATATGGTGTACGATAACCTGCTGCAGCAACTACTTCCAAATAAAGTCTCAATGATGGTGTTTGCAAACGATGTTGCATTAATCGTGATAGCCAAAATAATATTGACGTAATGAAGCACTTCGCATGGCAGGTAATGGATATCGTCCCAAAATAACTTAAATTATAAATTGAATTATAAATATAACTAAAATTATAAATTATAACTTAGATTATAAATTGAACTTGGTAACAGAAAAAATGGAAATATTAATAATTTTTTGCGGCAAGCGAAAGCTTCACGCTAATGTTAGAGTTGAAGACGAACAAATATGGTGGGCTGATAACATCCCTAGAAATTCTATCGATGCAAAGCTCTCTTTCAGAGAAGATTTAAATGTGGGATTAAAAGTAGCTGGAATAGCTTGGGTACTGATAGATATTATGTTCAATATTAGAGATCAAAACAACTACCAAGGATATTATTAACATCAGTGGGAAATTCCGTTCTTCTTTCTGAAATATTAATCTAGACTGAAGTCATGATACAGAATATCAACTGTGAAACCTTTTATCGTTAAGCCTGCAGGATGGCTGCGCTAAAAGTGACACGCGCTTTACAAACAGTATCAGATATCGTTTTGTCGGTAACAGCAAAACAACTGCTTATTAACCTGCTGGTGACCAAGAGAACGTAGGAGTACAATAGGGGATAACCAATGATTTAAGACCAGAAATTGAACAGCGAACGATGCTCTAGAAGATTATCGAAGAGTGTTAGAAAAGATGAGGCTTTGATAAGAAGCGCCGTTAAACCCACTGCATTATCCTCGATGTAATGTAGCGAATGAACAAGAGACACGGATTGGTCCATTTGATTTAAATGCTCACCGGATATAGGTCGTTTTTCAGTTACCTTCATAAGATAGATATAAATTCGGAACAAGAAAGTGTGTGACCAACTAAACAAGTTTAGAGGTCTTATAATCCTAGAAGATATAGACAGGTGGATTCATATATTTTTGAACATATCTCTATTTTTAGAGGCATCATTTATTTATTTAGAATGTTTTCTTTATCGAATTATTATTAGTCTTATGAAAATTCTATCCTCTTAAATTTCATAAGTAATTAAATGTATAGAATTTTGTCAATCTCTGAAAAAAATTAATAATCATTATATTTTATATTGATTTTCATTTTTATAGATTACATGCAAACATCAATTTTCTGAGGATTCGGATGATGGGGATATAGAAGATGACCTGGAACAGACTAATCAAAATGACTTTTATCTAAAAAGTATCTTGAGAGTATCAAAAAGCTCAAGACCTATTATAACAAATACAACTCTTGGCGTTCTTAAAGTATGCATGAAATACGTACAAGCTATTAAATTTTTAGAAGAAGACGTGAACATTATTTTACTTTACATTAGACAGTTATTTGAATTATACTTCTATGGAGTTCATAGTTTTTTTGCTTCAGATCTGGTAAGAGAACATAATCTGTTATTAATGCCCTTATTTAAAAAGATATTTTGGATAAATTGAATCCTCACTACTATTATAATATTATTTTTGTTCTATTAGATTCAAAACTGAAATCAATATTATAATAATTTTCTACAGTGTTTTTTTACTATGAAAAAATATTTTTCAATTTGAAATAAATGAATACGCTGCCCTAGCGAAAACGTTGCAGAGAAAAAAGATTTTCAAGACATAAAAATAAACGACAAAGTAATTGGATAGATTAAAAAGACTACAATATTTCAATATGCCATAATTTAAGTTACAATATCTTACTATCGAGACCTTTTAGTAGTAGAACAATTTATACAATACTAATAACATTGACCACCCTTTTGACTAAAAATCTAACATTTAAAGTTTGTGATGATGCGTCATCACTCAAAAATCATCTTACCTTATGCCAGCCCTGCTCCCGATAAAAACATGCGACCGAATAGCTGTTGCCGCATAGCCCACCCACACACTTCCGAGATCTCACGATTTACCATCTCTGAAGTTCTACCAAACCGATGCGCACGACCCTTACGCCCGCGTACAACCTTTCACGCACTCACGACCCGGACCGACACTCCCCCAGGAAGCTGGACGTCAATAAAGATTCCAGCTAAGATCATCTCATCTCAAACCGCCGTCTAACTAGAGCAGACTTAGCTAGACCAAAGGAGGGGCAACCGAGCGCGTGAGAGCGAGTGAGACAACTGATACAAGACCGATCGGACGCGAGCAAGGGGAATCGGTAGGACTGACGAGCGGCTGTTAGATAAGGATAGCCAATAACGACGCGAGACTGACCGACGCCCACAATTAATTAGCCATTCGGTAACAGCTTAGGGGTAGTTCGACGCTATCAGTGCAACCAGTAAGAAAATTAGGCGCCAAGAATTAGCCAATAGCAAAATTACGCGGGCATAAATTAATAAAATAGACGGCGCTGACATCCGGCTTAGCAACAGACCGACTAATCAGGTGAATATGAAGGGGAGGTAAGCAAAGAGAAGCGATGCACCACCGAAAAACGCCGCGTCAGTTGCGGAGTTGCCTAGTAGCCGAGTAGCTGAATACGCGAGTAGTTGCCGAGTAGCTGAATACGCGAGTAGTTGCCGAGTAGCCGCTGAACTGTGAAGCCGACCGGAGACCTGAATTCGCGAATGAGTGAGCAAGCAGCAAACAAAGCAGCAACCAGCAACAGCAGCAACGAGTAGTAGCAGTAACGGCGGGAGCAACGGCAGTAGCGGTAGCGATAGCTACGGCGACAATAGCGGCAGTAGCCGTGGTCGCGATCTCAACAAAGTCCAGCAAACGCAAAAGTGAGTACGCTCTCTCTTTTTCTTAAAAATCTCGCGATCGCTTAGACATCCGCGTTATCGGGAGTGCCGCATGACCTTCGCGCGTCCAATGAATTCCCTCACGCGCGCATCTTTCGTCACCGACCTTATTCGGGCTATTTTCTTTGTTATACCGTCATATTGAGTGCTGTCTGAATAACAAATTCTTCGCACGCGCGTCTATTCGCCGTCGATCCCCTGCCTAATCTTTTATTGATTTGCCCAATAATAAGCGAGCCTTTTGCCGATTTATTGCCGATCTTCTTTAAGCGATTTTCAGTGAATTGCCGGATACCGAGCAGACAAAGCCTGACCTTCGTGCGACCGGTCGATCCCCCGTATGCGCGTTAGTTTATCGTCGCTTTTCTTTGTGTGACTATCCATTGTACATTGCCAAACGTCGAACGAGCGCCGTATGACCTTCGCGCGGGTGACGAGTTTTCATACGCTTGTTGTGTTGACGAAATTCCTTTGTGAGATCGGTCGGACTTATATGCATTACACGGATAGCGCCTGACCTTCACTCGACCGACGAATTTTCCATACGTGTATCACTAGCCTCTAATTTTCGTTATACGAATTTTGTTGCGAAATGCTAAACATCGATCGAGTATCGTCTGAACTTCGTGCGCCCGGACAATTCCCCGCGTGTATGTAAATTCATTACTGATTCCCTGAACGAACTTTATGAGCTCTCGCGCGTCGAAATAAGTAGTCCAACGTTACGTAATCGCCTTGTAATCTCTAGAAGCATCCACGTCAACCTTCGTCAACGTAAGTGGAAGTCGCGTCATGGTGCGCCACTCGCGCTCTTACCAGGTTAGATTAAATAGACCACCGCAAACGACTGACCTTAGGCTGACCCGGGGGAATAAATTGGCTCAATAAAATCAAATCCTTATTAAATTAATGTTGTCATTGACTTTGCCCGTTTAATTACCCCATCCCCCGTAGCTTTCGCGGTCGGTCCCCCGAGATTACTGGACGCGTTGATAAATTGCTACTTCGACATCGCTTCACAGCCATGTAACTGGTCGATCCGGATCCTCCCCTGCCTTTGGATCGTCAACGAGACCTCCTGTGACGCCACTCCGATGTACCCGCTGCTGAGACAAGAGCCTCATGTCCCGAACATTCTGACTAGCCGCTGAGCCGCAGCCGTGGGTGGTTAAACACCCGTTGTTGTCCCGTTGTCCCCTTTTTCCGTTTGATTCTCACTCAAATGATTCAGTCTAAGACTTCGCGCTGCTTTTCTTTCTAACCTCCTGTAGGAGACCGCGCGAGGTCAACACAGTACGACGAAGAGGGAGGAGACAACGGAACCACCCGACAACTACAGCGACCAGAACCCAGCCGATGCTGCAGCGCTACCTGCCCTCCTAACGCGAGGACACGGTAGCTGGCGCCCAAACAAAATAAAAGCTGCGAACATCGGCTGACTGCGCCGCTGGCGGCGGTCGAGGCCGGAAGAATCGACTACACTTATTTTATCCCCTCCCCTCGTCGCAAGTTTTATATCTCGACTTAAGGTAGTTGTAAAAAAACTCTGTGGATACTTATTTTGTAGAGTTTTCTGGTATATATCAAGTGGCGTAAATTACATGTCTGTTTTTTTAATTTTTTTTCCAAAACTATGACATCAGAAGTAAAAGATGAAATTGATTTGTTTTTCCAACTTTGATGCGATATAATTTAAAGGAAAGTTATGGGAGGAAAAATCTGTCTTTACCATTTGAAAGCTTGTCCCAAATGCTATAAAACTCATGTTCAAGAAATTTTTTATCATACGATTTTTTTGAGTTATATCGTATTTTATTAAAAAACACATGTTACGAATCAAATCGTTATATGTGGGAAAATATGCTAAAAAACTCTAAAGAGAAAAGTTGTCACATTTTCATAATAAAAAACCATTTATAAACTATAATGGAGTGGTTATCCTACAAAATGAGAAATTTATTATCGCACAAACTCCCACGATGCAGAGCTAACCGCCGGACCGTTAAACACGTATGATTATACGTGTATTTGCCTTTATGTTCGATACTTTCGTTTCAGTGTCTTCTTTTCAACCGAGTTGAAATCACCTTAAGTCACTTGACTGGTGATACTCGATCTATCTTCAGTATGAATGACTTAATGCTTAATCCGCCTAATCCTCTAGACGATATCGGATTAAGACTTAAGCCTTTGTAGATCTATTTACTATTAGGAAATGAAATGACGTAAACGGCGAATAAAATTAACAAAATTTAATTAGTAAAAACTACAGTCTTTTATGGACCGAAAGACTAACACGCGCGAATAGGATTCACAGTTATTGATTATAATTTAGTGAGAGAGAGAGAGAGAGAGAGAGAGAGAGAGAGAGAGAGAGAGAGAGAGAGATTAGATAAAGTCAATTTTATTTTTTACTTCTGACATCATAGTTTTGGAAAAGAAATTAAAAAACAAACATGTAGTTCACGTCACTTGATATATACTAGAAAATCCTATAAATGAGTACCCACAGGGTTTTTTACAACTATCCTAAGTCAATAGAAAACTTTAAAGTGTTGGATTTTTAGTCAACAGCGTGGTGAATGTTATTGAACGGTACTGTATGTAGTAAAAGGGTATACTCTCAACAACATTATTTGTGAGGCCTGTAATGGCTCAGTTGGTAGGGCGACGGACTTGCACCCGATAGGCCCGGGTTCGATTCCCAGTCCCTGCTGATTGATACAAACACCACTGAAAAAAGTTTCATGTGCTTTGTTCTCAAAACACATTGCAAGCCTCCGCCGCTGATTAGCACTGATAAGTGCATAAACAGAGCGACGTTAAATAAAAAAAAAAAAAAAAAACACATGTTATTAAATTATTAATGCAATACTTTTGTTACGTGACGGACCATTTTCTTTTTTTGTGCAACCGTATGCTTGATTAGACTCTCGCTTTCGGGAGGCCCACTCGGGAGGTTGATAGCAACGAGCTTATTAAAGATTCGTCTTTTGGACAATTTATGCCGAGTGGTCGACACAAACGAGTACAGGACATTTTAGATCGACTGGAGAGGGAAAGCATTAGTGCCACTGTTTCGGATTCTGATAACGAGATTGGCATGAAATAGGCAAGTTCCCCTCTGGGGTCCTTGTTATCCTCAACTAGGATGGAGGATAAAGATCCGAAAAATATCTAAGACAGTACGGATGACAGAGCCCTAATAGAAGACCCGCGACGTAGTGGGCTAAGGAAAGAAACCGAAACGGAAGGGGACAACTCAAGTGATGAAGTTCAGAGTGATATATCGGAATTTACTGAATGAATAGAGTTAGAAGTTAGTGGACCTCAAACCAGCGGGAACTCTGGAGAAGATGAGTTAGCAGAAAATGAAAGTTCTACTAAAAGATGCGAAGAACGAGCCTCGGCATAGAGGATTAGTTTATAGGCAAACGAAGTGTGGAAATCAGCATAAAAATTCGACGCCATAAAAGTTTAGATAATGAATCGTATTATTGGGATGATATGGGTCTTGCGCGGGACAACCGAACTATAGAAATGCCTTCTCATTTCTCAGATGGGGACGAGCCACCGCGAGAGCTACAAGAGAAACTATGGAACCTTGACCCATATGATGAAATAAATGATTCT